TGATTGAGATATTACAAGCAGAAAAAAAAACAGAGCTCCAAATACTACTGTAAACCTTCACTGAAATGATGAATTATTTTCTTATTACCATTATTTTTAGTTAGGCAATAGCATTATCAATGGGTAACTGAGCTGAATAACAGATATCACACATCAAATAAAATTCAGTTTTAAAAAAATTGCATATAAATATGGTAAAACCTTCTGCAGAATATAAAATAACTAAATTTTAAGTAAAATACACATAAATGAATGTAGTATGATTTTTCAGCAATAAAATTATACTGAATAAAATTACACAAATGGAATCTTATTTAAAAAATATACATCATAAACAAATTTCAAAGAATTAAAAAGACAGATAAAAATTAAGAATTCATGATTTTGTTCTAAATATTGTAAAATTTTGCTTTATTGTATAAGAATTAAATACTCTGCATAGTAACAAAATACACAACTGGAAGTTCACAAAAAAAAAAAAAAAAAAAAAAAAACCATATGAAATAAAACATAAGGAAGAAAAGGCAAGCTACCAAGAGTTGACACTTGTCAGAAGTTCAAGCGAGCATGACTGTGCTAGCTTAGTTAGATCAAGAATTCCATACATTGGTTAGCTATGCTGGGGTAGTTGAGAATCAAATGTGAAATCCCCCCCCAAAATCTTTTAAGGAACTGTACAATCCCTGTCAGTAGTTAAAATATGATAATAAAATCATGACACACTTAGTGGTTCTGAAATAGCTAAAGATTTGACCAATCTTTTATGATTAGATGAAAAACATGCAAAGCTTGTAATTTCAGCAATTTTAAAGCCATATTAAAAAATTTTAACGTCCTTTTGCTGCAGGTCAATTCAATTTTATAACTGTTACAGGCATGAAAGGATAAGCATTCTGTTAAGAAATATAGTATGTATCTGTTAAAAAAATTAAATTTCTGCTTGGTCATTGAAAATAAGCAGCATTTAACCTTCAGAAAAATGTGAAAATTGCAGGAAAAATAAGTTATTCCTAGTTACTGCTGTTATGGGATATTGCACACAACAGGAAAGCAAAGCCAAAAATTCTGATAACAGACAAATTATTGTTCAAATTAGAATCATTTCATAAAATCAATTTAGAACGCATTATTTCTATGCTATTAAAAAATACTATGTATCTTACTTATAGCATTACTTCAAACGTCGTCACATTCCAAACAATTGAGTTTCAAACAATGTTCTATACTTCACAAAAACATTAAAAATATAAAGAACTTATTTTGTCAGTTATTACTGATGTATGTCCAATAATTTTTTTATAATTTCAAATGAAAAACAACAAAACTCAATTTAAATTAAAATAATAAAATATTTAATTAACAGAGATACTTAGTAGAATATAATGAGCAACACTGCAATCAAAATAAGTATGCCTCGAATATCTGCTTGCTTTACAAATATTTTCAATTACTTAAATTTATTTTATAAATAAATAAAAGTACGTTCTCTGTAAAAAAAATTTTTTTGGTATACTCTGTTTATACCTGACATGATATATTCAGTTTAGGAAGATGATCTTATTATGTAAGACACTAAGTGAAGCATAAAAAGTCCTCACTTTCAATTCAGACATATTAAGTTTATTCAAGAGCAAGAAAGTGGTTTTAAAGAAATATATAGATATTTAGAATTCCAGCAATCTGCAAACTTTGAAAGCAAGGGTTATGTGCATTAGTGGTTTCATTTGGTTTATTAAATAATAACAAAGCACTCAAGGGCTACCCGCCTAAAAGGATTGATGATTTCGTGAAGGAATTCCCAAGGGAAACCGGCTCCTAGACACTTTGCACATAGGGAAACCTCCAAAACTGCCCATGCAGCCAGCCTCAAGATTCGAACCTTGAACTGAATTACAAGTGTTTAACAACTTTACCACTTGGCTGCTGGTGAGCCTATGCACATTAGAGAATCTTTTGGATTACAGCTAATGCACTCACAAGTTTTTGATTACATTTCAAAAAAAGTGCTATTTTAAACAGCAAAATTACTTTCAAATTACTGTTTATGCTTTTGAATAAAAGAAAAATACACTAGGTAATTACATATTAGGACGATCACCTTAGTAGAAACTGCCAAATTTCAGTTGTGCAAAAATGTTTAAAATTAAAAAAAAAAAAAAAAAAAAAAAAAAAAAAAAACAGGCTATGGAGTGCACTTAAGTTGGAAGATAGCAATGGAAAAATTGTGGACAAATTCTTTACACATGATAACCACATTAACCCAAAATGAAAAGGCAACAAAATATATACAAGGAAGATTTTATCTAAAATGGAAAATTTGCAGAAATTCATATTTAGTAAGTGCTTTGATGCATGCGTTTCAAGAAAAACAGAGAATAACTTCAAAAATAAATTCAGAACTAAATAACTTCAAAAATAAATTCATCTCATCAATCAAAATCTGTTCATACACTTTTTGTTAAAATTTTAATATATATATATGTAAAATATAAAAAAAAGTACGATGGCTTTGCTTTTGGCGAACACGCAACCTTTAACTAATTTTCTGCAATTTAGGATCTTCCCTCTAGACCAATACCTTCTTGAATTTGCTAGCCTATTACGTAACTGCTACTGTAAATACTGAGTATGCGCCATTTTTCAGTCAGACTGCTTCCTAATCTCGCTGCTACAAGATTCTGTGCTGCCCTGTCCATCTTTTCTCCCTTTGTTAGAATTAGTTATGAAGCACAAAGTTTAAATTCAATCATACTTAGTTAAAACCACTAGGGATATGTAATTTAAAGAGTGTTATCTAAAAGGAAAATGATCTGCTAATTGGAATAAATAAAAATGGGCAGTTAAAAGCTAAATAATTTTGTGTCGTCTTTGGATATCCTCCTTACCAGTCTGTGAAATGCCATGCCTGAACTTTGATGCCGAGCTTCACGACTGCTGATATATATATGATATATATATATATATATATATATATAATGTTGTATGAACTTAAATATATATATGTATGTATATGTATGTGTGTCAAAAATATCTTCCTTAAATTTGAAATGCTGAATTCTCAGAAAATCAAATTTTGTTAACATCCCAGAAATGAACACAGATCACAGTGATTTAAGGATTGTCAAAATTCTACTGTACCAAGAAAATAGACAGAGTTGCAAAATGGTTGAGAAAGGGGGAAAAAAATGTAAAAACAGGAAACAAGTTATCAAAGTAATCAAAATTTTTAGTTATAGTAACACAGAAATGTAGAAAGAAAATGCAGAAATGCAGATTTTATCTATTGAAACAGACAAGAAGCCTTATAAAGGATTTCTTCTGTATTTCACTGCAGTCTTGAAGCAAGCTGGAAACAAGTAGACCATAGGTGAGCAATGTGCAGCCTTGAAGCTGCATGTGGCCCTCGTGAGTTTCTTATGCAACCTCTACTCTTTGTATTAAAGCTAGATATTGTATTACTATTTAATTACCTAGACTACAACAATTCGAAAATTAATACAATTAGATAATGTGCTGCCATCTATTGAACATAGCATGAATTAGAATGCTGTAGTATGGTAGCTCTGGCAGTCTCTCACAGCCTGAAGAACTCAAAGTCTATAGAAAAGAAGTTAACTGACTTTGGTATGCAAACGAAAAGCTGAGGACTCGTTCAGCTGATGTCACTGCAGTTCATTCTAGTAGCGGTGATTTCGCATTTCCTTTTGAGATACTTTCTATTTTTCAGTAGGAAAATAAAAAATCTGAATAGTTGGAATTGAGTTTGGAATAGAAATTAATCAAATAACACTATGACAATTTCGAACTATGGTGCTTTTGATCAAATGCCACTTTTAAAAAACAAATATGTAAAACGTAATTTTATATGGGCCTTTTCTGAAGAAAGTTTTAATAAATAGTGCAATTCTATCCTACTTAAGGTTGTTTATAAGACAATCTCATGTATGCAGGACTGGGGCTGAAAAAAATTGTCATTATTCCATTCAATTCCTTGAAAAAAAACTTTAGTTACCCTATAAAACTGAATTATAGTGTATAAAAAAAATTTTGAATTTAAGCATTTCTGCAAATGAGAAAAATTACTATTATATTAGTTATGTTTCTTTTAAATAAAAGAAATAATAAAAATTTATATTCAGAAACTAATGCAGAGCTGTCTATAACAATGCTTGAATACAGCTCCTCCCCAATTAAAAAAAAAAAAAATTCAGTTAAGGAGATGTTGGGCAATTTGAATCATTTGAAGATAGATTTTTGTTTAAATGATTCAGCTATAATGAACATTTGGTTCTTATTTGTTACAGAACAACACACACCAATCAATTTTCTAAACAAAGATTTACTGTTTACACTGCTTACAGGCCATTACTGATTTCAATGCATTGTTCTTATCTCATAATAGCACTTCTGTTTAAAAAGCTTTTAAAATGTGTCATTCTATGATATGCTTAAAATAACTAACTTAAGACACATTTCTCATATTAAAAATTCTTATAACTGAAATAAGCTGACGATGAAAAGTATAAAGCTGGCCCATATAGCTTTCTAAAGATAACTGTCTGGTACCTGTAATCAAATTCAAACTTTTTAAAATGTACTGTGACCAAAATAAACATATGCAGGAAGCCTATCTTGTTTGATTCACTTATTAAAAATGGAAGTTTACACCCATGGCCACAATTTAAGAGATATTTAGTTGCAGAATGTTTCTAAGCATCCTGTGTAAAAAGCATATACTAAAACAATATATAAAAAATGAAAGTTGTGAAAAAATTTTATGAAGTTCTGAGGAATTATCAAATTTGGATGTCTCTAGTAAATTAATATAATTAATAATGAAGTTAATGCACTGAAAGTGGCACTGACTCTTGCCAAAGAGAAAATCAAAAATCATAGATAAAGAATAATGTTTTTTTCTTTTTTTAAATTAAAAGAGACTAACAAAAAATACCAAGAATAGAAAATTATATACATAAATTGGCATGTTATTTAATATTTACCTGTCACCTTTTCTTAATGGAAAAGTACTACTAGAATATTCAGGACCTGCCTTTCGACCACGGTTGCTGAAGTTAGAAAAATCTCCACGGCCTGAAACATTGAAATTCACAAATATGGATATTATATACATAGATATATATGTACAAATGTATTTACTTTAGGGCAATAGAACATCAAGAAATTTGTCTAAAGTACATACTGTGCTTTAGACACTAGATACAGCAAGAAAAACAGTCCAACAGTTACTGTTACTACCCCATATTTCATTCTATATTTAGTGTACTGCTCTTTGTGCTGCATCCAATGCCCATGAAGGTGTCCGAATTTTTACCCAATGAATTACAAATTACCAGCCAAGGCAAATTATTAACATAACATAGAATATTACAAGTAAAAATTATGTCCTAATACGTTGGTTCTCTGTAACATTTTGAAAATATCATTTGCTCTCTCTGAGTGTGGAACCAATTTTCTGCCAAAGATTCAAACCGCTATCAACAAAATTTTCTTTATCAAAATTTAATTGAACTGGATGCAAATATTTACTTCTTGCCCCAAATTAATATATTTATGTAACCAACATTAAAAAGGAAAAAAATGATTTAATATTTTTATCAAAATCTCTTTAAATAAGAAGAAATATAAACAGCAATTTGCAGGTTTAAAAGTTTGATTTTTAAAGCAAATATATACATCATTATAACTATTTTCTTGAGCAACTAAGCTTTCAATTACAGTTTTACATCTACTCAATATGAAAAACTACTTTGCAGAAAGATTCCGGGTTGTTCTTATATTTACCTAATGCCTGACTTTCTCTTAAACAAAATACTGCTTCTTAAGAACATACACTAATATATTAACTGTAATAAATATTTCAGGCTTGAAAACAATCATTCATATCACTGGTACATAAAACAAATCAGTTGATAAATTTTTTCTCCCACCCCCAACGATATAATAGTTATTTTTTAAAGAAAAACTCATACATTTATATCACCTCATACAGTGGTGGTAGTGGTAGTGAGTTTACTGGTGCAAAACTCTAAAGGCCATCTGTGCTGAATACATGTCAAATGCTTTCACACAAAAATGAGACTTACAGACAAAAGATTAAGACCATGGAAAAGCTTAACGTACAGAGAAGCTAAAAAATGACAGATGCCGAGATGAAGTTTCCTATAATGCAGATAATGAGATCAGATTTGAACAGGTATAAAATCTTAAAACATGAAATATATTAAAATAGAAATCACTAAAACAGCAGGCCACAAAATCAAATAAACCATATTATATTATATATTGAAGTTTATGTGATTCAGGAATATCTTAATTACCCTTGGTATGCTACAGAAATACTGGCCTAGCTTCTACCTATACCTGTATAAACCCATGTTTGTGGATTCGTTACTTTTTCCCATATTTCATACTCTTTTGTGTGCATGTGTGGGGGGGGTGTTAATTCCGATGAGAATTTGAAAATTGCTTTAAGTGTGCAGATTTAAGTAAACAATCTATGCAGTATACTTTTAAAAAAAAGTTAGAACGACTAGTACATTATTTATTTATTTGTGATCGCAGATTTAAAAAACAAAATCCGAACGCTTTCAGATTTTACACTACACCCAAAGGGACCTTTTTAAAATGTTTTCTGTGTTACCTTTATTTATTAAATATCATGTTCTTCGCACTTAAACCATTAAATTAAATTCAATAGCAATATCGCAAAATAATTTTAAAATGAGCATATCTTTCGAATTTCTGATGCGCAGTCTCTTGTGCTGAAGATAAAAATGTCTTTCCCACACACACACTGTACAGTGTTGCCATTGCTTGCTTTTGAAATCGAGTTTCTTAATCAAAAATTCATTGAAGTGTTACAAAATATGGTGGTGTATTTAATTATGGCAGAGCACACTAGGGCTATGTGCCTAAGGGATGGGAAGCCTTCGTGGAAGACTTTCTAAAGGAAACTGGCTCGTATACACGTTACACATGGGGAAAACCACGAAGACACCCACGCAGTCAGCCCGTTCGCGGGATTCGAACCTCGGACCGAACTACCAGTGTTCAGTGACTTTACCGCTCGGCCGCTGGTGGGCCTGTTACAAAATATGAAATCGATAATAAAACAAATTCCAAATGTTGGCTTCCAGATGCCTATATTCAGAGGAGGATTACGTTATGGTTCTAGGTAACATTGATGGTTTAATGGTTCTAGGTAATGTTGTTTTATCACAATGTGAGAAGCATACATACATTTATGCAGATTCTTTATTATTTAAACATAACAGTGGCAGCAGTTTGAAAAGTGATTCGGACATTTACAGTGAATTGACGCGAAATGCTGAAACAAAATAAATAGCCCTTCTAAGCTAACGCTCCTTTGTGCCAATTAAATAGTAAATACCTGCCTCTTTCGGCTATATCACCTCATACAGAATGAAAATATTCTTGAATCATGTAACTTATCCAGGATATATCAAACAGATTTTAAAGAAAGGTATTATAATTCCTATGTAAAATATTTCAGAAATGATGTCATAAACCACCGAAATTGTAGGCAAATTCTAAGTCATAGGCATCCAGTTTTATTTTGCCCTCTTGTGCTCATCTCGGTTCAGTTTTCTTTGGTTTTTTAAATCAGCGAAGAAACACAGGCAACATCCTTTAGAATTCTGCATGACTTTCAAGCAATAAAACTGAACTTTCAACAACAGAAAAAGTTTCTAGGCATATAAAGGTACTACATGCTGCAGCATTCTTGCAAATATCCCCGCCTCTGCTGACAATTACAAATGATATGTGCTAACAGAAATTGTTTAATGAATTTAATTCTTATGTTGAATTTAATTGAATTTAATTCTTATGTTAGGGTTTATCATGCTACTGTGCATACTGTTATTAACATGTGTACAGCTTGCATATCTTCATTGGTACCCCAGTCAATCCATCCTGCATCCACAGATTTTAAATAAACATCAAAATTACTTAATTTTATCCAACACAAGCACCAATTTTTCAGAAGAATAATTTACATTATCTATAAGCCAGAATTCTTTGAACACCAAAATAACTTAATTTTGTACAACACAAGATCTGACTTTTTCTGAAGAATAATTTACATTCTCTACAAGCCAGAATTCTTTTTATGACAAACTCGAATGATTAACACTCTTTATTTAACAAAGCATACTGAAGTTTCCCATGGAGAGGAACAGACAGAAAACAAACAATTCCAGTACATACTTGTCAACTCATGACACTCAAAAATCAGATTTTTTTAAGAAATCAGGAGATTTTTCACAATGTTAAAAAGACTTTTTAAATGATAAAAATATAGTTTTTAATAATGAATTAACTTTAAATAGTTACTAAGTCTTAAATGCAAGCAACACAAAAATACCTCAGACATAAAAACATTTTTATTACTTGCATCATTTAAAAAAAAAAAAAAAAAAAAAAAAGACATTTTAATCAGTTTTCATACAAATGTTATGAACAGTGGCAGATTTTGCTTTCATTAAGAAAGAAACTTGATAATTTTGTTCATAGCAATTGCCACGTAGGCCTGCTTTCGCTAATAAAAGTTTTTCTAATGTGTCATCACTAACATTAGATCTAAATTTAGTCTTCGTTTTCGCAACAACACTGAAAATAGTCTCACACTCCGCATTACTATGGGGAACTGTCAAGAAGGCCAACATAATTCTAGACAGTTCACAATATTTTAAAATCCCATCAGCACCTTTCAGTTTTCCAATTAAACTCCACTGGGTGTCAATCCTAGCTGATTTTTATAACTTCATCCAAGTTTTCTAATTGTAAACTGCAAAATTGCGACTGAAGTATATGAGTAGCAACATCAATATCATCATCTTTCATGACTAAACGAAGTAACACAGGAAATCTGTTCAAAAAGTACCTTATATCAGAAAAAGATGCATTTGCTAGAGCAGAAACATTACAAGCTTTAGCATGCAAAATCACTTCATCGTTGACTGGAAATTTATGTAGTATGTAATCACATACTCGGTAGAAGTAACGGTACTTTTCCGTTTTGCCGGCGCAAGCGATAAAGTCGCCAATAATGGTACAACCGATGCCAAACGGAATATTCTCGCTGGTAACCTTTTACGCCTCATTCAGATAGTTCAGTTTTATGTCTAAGGCCATTTTCGGCAATTAAATCAATTAGGATGCAATCACAGCGCTTACCCGAAGCCGAAAATATAGAAAAGGTAAAGTCAAAGGTTAAATTCATCAATTCTAATGAGAATGCATTAGCGAAGTAAAGCACTGCAGTTTTACATAATTTCTGAGTAAGTTATTCGTACGAATTGAAGTATTTCTTGCATTTAAACTTGTACTCCAAATTAAGATTTAACTTGAAATTAATATAGATAATTACTGAGAGCATTATATTTTTGTAGAGTAGTACACGTGAGATGAGATCGCTTGGGGTCACGTGATATGAACCGGCGAAACAGGATGTTGAACCATGAAAGCATAGTAAATTCTTAAATTAATGTATTTTTATAAATTTATTGTCTTTATTTATCGGCTTTTTATAAAATTTTAAGCGATATTAAAATGTTTATGCCTTCAAAAAAAGAATTCTTAGGACTAACATTTTTTAAATATTTTTTGTGTGTATAATGTATGTTGTCGCCAATAAAGTCTGCTTGGCGAGATTTGCGCCAGCGAAAAGTACCGAAGTAACTTCTAACATGAAGATAAAACTTATTTTTGTCTTCTTCTGAAAGTTCTTCCACTACTTTTGTAGTTGCAGCTCCTATTACCAAATCTTCATCTTTCTTCTGATTTTCTATTTCACCATAAATCACATCATATATAGAATTATAAGACAAAACACAGACTGGTTTTACAAACTTTGATAAAAATGTCTTTAAACAGATCATAAATCATTGATTGCAAAACATGAATTAATGGAATTCTGCTTTGTAGAACTGTGTTAAGAGCATCGGACGATGGCAAAATGAATTGTAAAAAAAAGCAAAAAGCTTTGTTAAGGTCCGAAGAAAAAAAAATATTTGTTCTTCACAAGATAAACATACAGTAATCGAGAA